AAAATATAAAACTAATTTTTTTTATATTTTATGAGCTGCCATACTGTTCATCAGATTGCGGAATTGAGAAGGTTATATAGGCATAGTTGGAGCCGGTAGGTGGCGCTGTTGTGGAATGCAGATATCACCCGTGCGAAGCCGGGGCGGATAGGAATAATAATGAATTCATTGAAATTGAATGATATATGACATTCAAATAAGTTTGTTGGTGCGATACACGCGACAACTACTATAAGTTTATTGTACTATGCCTATAACCTTCGCGCAAGTGTAAGTAATAAGTTGACAAAGTTTTAGCGCAACTTGACGATTGGAACATAAAATACGAACATATTTTAGAAGAAGAAAAAGAAGAAGATAGGCTAACAACTAGTATTTGTTCCGTGCGAGATTCCGCGTTCAGCCACTGTCTTAGCGCTCGGTCTTACTCGTTTCTAAGTTGCTTATTATCAATAGAGATCATTCATTTAATGAATGAAATAATAATAAAGGAAACAATCAGTGTTGATGAAGCCGAAAACTTATCTGGGCGCCGTTAAAGTATCCTGGAAATCCAGCTTATATATTTTATACGTAAGGTACGTGAGGGTAATTTCGTCACCTTAAGCTTTGCAACCCTGTTAAACCAAAACCAGTAGCAGAACAGAGACAAAAACACAAAGTCGTATACAATAACTTAAATATATTTAAAAAAAATAGCAAGTAAGCTTTGGAAATAATTAGTAACATTTCGAAAAATCAATTCAAAAAATTAACCACACTACAGCATACTAAAATTGACTAAAATATTTACTATAATGTCCACTTTAAAAATTACATCGATAAAGCAGCGCCCTTTTGACTTTTTGACCATTTATTATTTGATTAACTGCTGAATAGCTATCCTATTCCAAAGCCATCTATGCAAACAAGGCTATAGTTTCGGCGTAATAAGAAAGTGACTATATTAACCGGATGACCATATAACCCTCACGTACTATAATTCATTTTTGCATAGTGCTAAAATTTACCCATCCCCAGGGATTGTCGTTTGATTAGGAAAGACAGAGGTGAGGTTGGGCTCAGATGTTTTTTTTTTTCCCAAATTTTTTTTTCCCCACTTTGGGGTTGCTTTTTTTTTTTTTTATTTTTATATATATACAAGAATTGCTCGTTTAAAGGTATAGGATACAATATGAGCCGCTAAATTAGTTATTCGTATAATTCAAAGGACATTAACTTTATATTATAAACTTATGAGTTATTACCTAAATAAATTTAACCAGTATTATATTATAACAACATAATATTATACAAAATAAATGAATATAATAGACATACATAAAACCGAAATGGCATACGTACGTAATTACATAAATACTAGATGATAGAACTATTTCTTATTAACTGGCTTTACGGCTCTGGGTTCTAGCCCTTCTGAGCCTGATGATAAAACCATAAATGCTAGTTAATAGAACTCTTTTTCTTTTCTGTATGAACGACTCTCTTACCGATTTCTGGCATCGAATATTAGTACTTGCACTGCTGTGTTTTGGGTTTAGATAACCAGCATAATTACGGGCTAACACTCAGTGACAACGCATCTATTTCTCTCTTATAACTCAGAAGTTGGCTGCAAGTGTCCACGGAGTGCAGTGGCCAAACTTACCATCAAGTGGATTGTAAGTGCATTTAAAAAAGCAGATGGAAAATGAAAATCCAACTTGTGCCAATTATGATTAGCAATCACACAATAACAGGTTAATATTTTTGAAAAATGGTGATATTATGTATCATTATGTAAAATATGCGTGATCTTAAGGAAATTTCTTTAAATAAATAAAAAAGCGAATAGAAATACCACATAAATATTTAAATTTAGAGAAAAAAGCGCGTTTGTAAAAGCAATACTGTATAAAATGAATATGATACGAAAACAGTTACAAACAGCGGTTTCACTTTTTTCGTACTGAGGCAAGATCGCGAATGACGCAGTCTTTCAGTTGAATACGCTCTCTCCATATTATGATATTTATCATATGATTACGCGTACCAGTGGAATTCAGTTTAATAAAATAACTAACATTAAAACAGGCAGTTTAGCTGCATTAAACATAGTAAATATATCGGTATTTGATAACTTTAGTGTAAACTGAAATTAAAACGTAATGACAATAGCTTTGTGCATTTAAATGAAAATGATTAATATCATTTGAAAGCTCATTAATGAATGTTTCGTAACTTTTGTTTTGTAATTCTACATTGTGTTACATAAATAGCGGATGTATATCCGATTAGCTCTTACATAAGTTCAAAGCTAGTATACTTATGATTCTTTAACTTTGCACTTGAAAGGCTTAATGGAGATTTAGATGTCATTTATTTATTACATGATATGTTATAATATAATATGTTACCATATCGTGAAATAAGAAGAAACCTAACAACCTAAAGAAATATGGTCTAAGTACTCAGTAATTAGGACCAGTATGAGCAGATGAAAGTAGGTCTAAGATTTTTTAGATAATACATATATTTGTATCAAAAGCCTTGTCTCTAAACCTTGTACGAAATCAAATTACAAATGTAGGTACATAATATTACTTATATGAACAAGTAAAGTATTTTCAACATTAATAATTTTAATGTTTGAAACCTAAAATATTGTTGTATGACATACAAAAATAACGTTTGAATCAAATTAGCACTGATATCAGCGTATTAAATGTCCTGGATTAAGTTTTTTTCTTCTATTTTGTTACACAACAGAAATATTTATTTATATAAATATTTTGTACAAAAAGCGCGAGTAGGTAGTTTCAAAAATGCTATCTGTTTAACAGCGCTCGCTCCGTATTGTCGTCCTCCGACAGAAAGAATTGCAAATGTTGGAAGTAATTGCCTACATTTCCTTTTTAAAATATTGTTTCGATTATACCTTCACAAAATGAGCCAATTTTGGTCTCATTAGATTCAGTATACCTTAATTTAGGTCCGTACGTTTTTCTATTTTAGTATTTCGGTTTGGTTTAATTAAAAAAAAAAGCAGAAATTGTTGCGTGCGAGTACAGTAAATGAAACTTTATTCTGAAATTAAGGCGACACCGCGAAATAATGCACCTCCTTTCATGAAAAAGTATAGGACTATGACACCACTAACGAAAGTGGAATTTTGATACAGGTAAATTCATGTCTTTATCTTGAATTTTCTTGTTCAAAAACACGATTGTATAATTTTGACTCGATCATAATTATTTGCGAAAATACCTCTAAAAATCACTATAGTTGAAATTTAAACGAAATTACTTAATCTATATGCTTGGGAATCACTCAAATATATTCATAACATCAATATTCATAATTTACTTGCTCATTATTTTGATTACTTAAAACAATAATTTTTTTAAAATATTTGAAGATTCTAACAATTTCTAAGCGCTTTTAATCGTCGCGGGCACTACGCAATTTTCAACCTTATGACGGCGTTTTTTGAAGTGTTTATAGAAATTATGTATTCACTCGAATCAGTACGGCGATAGCCTGGAGCCACTTTTTCGATGTGTCTTAAGCTTAGTCGGTCCATGCCTCTCTGTAACCATTGCAAATTTAGAATCTAAAAGAATTGTTGGCGACAATAACAGATTATGATTTCCATTTTATAATAAATCCATTTTATAATACTAGCGATCCGCCCGTCTTCGCACAGGTGATTTCTAAATATCGACAACAGTGCCACCTATCGGATTCAATTCTGAAATTAAACATTAGGTTAGGTGAAGTCCTAAAAATTATAATAAACTAGCTTACCAGGCAGACGTTGTTCTGCCCTTTTCAATGACCCCTTGTCATGTCCTATTAAAAATCCTTAAATTAGCAAAAAACATCGTGGCTCACTCACCGGCAAAAAAAACTATCCTATCTCTCAAGTTGGACCAAACTGCACACGGTGTGCAAATTTGATTAAAATCGGTTAAGTAGTTTAGGAGTCCATCGCGGACTAACAACGTAATTTATATATATTAAGATAATAGATCCGATCATTAATTATTTGGTTATTAATTAAAGTTATTACGTCCCACAGTTGGGCATAGGCCTCCTCTCATTTCTGAGAGAGTTTTAGGGCAAGGATGTCCACCGCGCTGCCACAATGCGTGTTGGCAAACTTCATATTATGTCTTCGAATTTTTTTTATTATTCCTCAAATATTTGCTGAAAATGCCTAAAGCTTGTTTTCCTTCGCCGCTGCGCACGTGGTACATCAGCACTTAAAATTGTAATTAACAATTTCATTGGTGTCGGCGGGGATCGTATCCGGACCGCTCACGTACTTTAAAGTTTACAGGGAGTGCTTAGCACCTGAGCTACCACGGCTCTTCATTTGATTATTAGTTACATATCGCTACATTATAGCCGTCACACGTTGACCTTCTTTCTTTCCTCCTTTCTAGTTTATAATGTTGAACTATTCATTTTTTTAGTTTTAAGTATTTTAATTTTTTTTTGGTTTGGTAGTGATTAGTATTTAGGTTTTAGCCAACAAAGTGACACAGTATTTACTTTTTCACTAAACACCATCTGATCGGAAGTAGGACGTCTATCTTATTGAATAACTTACATACGCTTTTCTTGGCACTAGAAATAAGTTGTTCACTCGCAACACTTCACTGTCTAGAATAAATTCCTGAAGCTTAAAAATAGGTATCCACGGTATTTTATTTCAATTTTTTTTGTCGTAATACAATAATCATTTGCAATTTTGTTACCTACTTTATTAAAGACAAAACATTAATTTAACTCAACTCAATTTAACTCACCTTAACAAAGTAAAATCCACAAATTATTCCTCATGAAGTCAATGCCAAGTGCGAAACGAAGCGAACTCACGTAGTACTCAGTGAGCGAACAATAACATTTCACTCGTTTTCGTGTAGAACTGTTTGTTCAGAAAAATATCGCATTCACATACTAATTTCGATAGAAACTACACGGTTTGTTAACACGCGCAGCCTGATTGCTGTATGTCAGAACACTGAATTGTGTATCTGAGTCTGGGGCTGGGTCTGACTCGGTGAATTAACGGGTAAAGTGGGCTGGCGAGGTAGCGACAACCACACGCGGCGCGCGCAGTGAGAGTTGTGCTTAGTTGTGCCGCCGCATGGTTGCGTGTCGCAGACAGCGTCCACGGCCGGCCGGGCCACACGCCACTTGGCGGCTGCATCAGCGAATGCTGTCGCCAGCACATGCTGATGCATACACAACGCGCTTGCAATACTACGGCTATGCAGGTGAACGCGACATTTAAGTTTAATTCACGTTATTAAAATAATTCTCTAATAGTCACATCTCGTAAGTTCTGTAAAAATCGGCACAGTTGTTTGACTTTGCTCTGTTAAATTTTACAATTTGTAAAAAAATAATGTGTAAAAAATGTGTAATGTAAATTAATAATTGTAAATTATTACTTAGGTACGTTTCGTTTTAACATTTAATTTTCAAAACATTAATTGCATTGTCATTTATCATTTTAAGATTGATTAAGTATTATAAAATAATTGCTTAAAATGCTTAAAATAAAAGTAATTAACACTGAATATTTTACTTAAAACATAAATCACTAAAAGAAGCAGTCTTTAGCTTTAGATTATTTGGAATGCCTGAGGAATGAAAATGTAGAGTCGATGCAGTAAAGAAAAAGAAACACAGAGCGGTCAAGGTTGTTTATCGGAAAATTCGCCGGCGTTATTTTAAATTTATAAGGGAAAGCAAGAGTACAAAAATGAATGGGATTATTTTTATTTTTATATACGTATATAATTCTTCTGTCCGTGTGTATATGACTGAAATCCTCCTAAAGAGCTGGAACAATTTTGATGAAATTTTGTGAGTGTGATTAAGTTTATATTGCTGTCAAGATCGAGAAATCACCCGAGCGAAGCTGGGGATTTCTCGTCATAGGACGAATCGTTAGTTATTACAATTACATTTTATGCTTTATGTGTAATTATGATCAATACCTACACAAGTCGCAGATACATATATTTATTTTAAACTTTAAATTAATGAGGATAAAATATTAAGCTTATTAAATAATATGTCGTTTACGATATCTAAGCCTTACTTATGTGGGATAAAACTAATTATACGGATTTTATCGCGTTTTTCGCGAATTTTAACTTTTTTAATTCCCAATGTTTCGGGCACTTTACAGTAACCTTGGGCACGGGTGTACTGAGGTGTTTGATATCCTGATGTTCTGATATCATAGTTAACGAAGGCTACCTTGAACTTTTATATATTAATTTTTGGTCGAATCTACGCAGAACGAGCTTACAGTGTCTTGAAGTCCTGCAGTAGTTTGCTTGGGTGTGTATTTAATTTTATGAATTATGAGATCCCAAGTAGATGGTAGCCATAGATGGTACACACAGCCACCTTCTCTATAGAAATCAGAATGTTTTTAATTTCAATTGTTCTTTTGCGAGAATTTATGGTCAATCGAAACTGATATAATAGATGGAACGATCCTGAATATAATAAAGATATTATTAGTTACTTTGCAACCATCCGCTCAATAAAATAAAATTATGTGTCTTACCTAGTTTGAAGAGCACCTCCCGCACTTCCTCAGTTGCGTGTACTAATCCCGTCACCACTAATCGCAGCACCATTACTCCCAACATCATTACTCCCAACACCACTACTCCCAACACCACGATTCTAGGAAGGGCGATATACGACACGCGTTTCGCCTCTACACGAGGCATCTTCAGGTGATGTAGACTCTACGGCGGCTGACCGCTAAATGGTCTGCCGGCAGGTTAACAACACCTGATTCTATTAATGATTCTGAACTTGTTGACATACTACAGACTTTCCAGAGCATCGATGCTTCATGTCAGTGATATATTCTCTCACGTGAGTAATTACGGATCTTTTTGTTTGTCCGACACTTGACAGATGGTAGGAACTGATTAATCTTCTTCGGCGGCTTGTAGTATGTTCTTATACAGTCATAAACAAGATTGGCTTCATCTTGAAGCCCTGAAGATGTAGCCAATCTTGTCTGTGACTCCTCTGACATATGGTAGAACAGCAGGCACACGCTTGACTCTGACCAGTTTCACTCTTTTCATTGTTACGGAGACGCGGGACCCGAAGCGTGTTATTGTGCAAAACTTAGTGGAAGTGCTGGAGCTCGGCGAACAGGTGCTTACTGTCACAGATCCCTTGTACTCTGTGAAACATAGGTTTTCCCACGGTAGCTAACTGTGAAGGATGGTGGTGGGATTTACCGTATAGATATCGGTCAATATGGGTCTTTTTTCTATACACAATATGAAGGATGGAGTAATTAGGATTCCGAATGCCTAAAATATCTAGGAAACTAAAGAATTATTTGCCTCTTACTCCATAGTAAACTGAGTTTTAGAGTTTATGGAGTTAAGGTGGTCTAAGAATGCAGTAATTTTGTCTGATGGTAAAATTGTGAAATTGTCGTCTACGTACCGCTTATAGAATATTAGATTTATAGGTGCAATGTGGACTTTCTCCTCGAAGTCCCCCATGTTCATCGACGACAATGGGAGATAGAGGTGAGCTCATCGCCACACCATCTACTTGCTTGTAAAATTCTTTCTTCTACAATAGATAGTGAGTTTAAGACATTGACTAAGTAATACTGCATATTCCACTGGCATGTTTTTTTTCACAATTGAGATGCAGTCTTCAATAGGTAGGCATTTAAATAGTGACTGGACATCAAAACTGACTGGTAGTTTCAATGTCAGCATGATGTAGGTCTTTTACCTCCCTGCCAAAATGGTATGAATCATTTGTACGTGATCTGCTGTGTCCTCTTAGTGGTGAACCCATTTATATGTTGATGAATGAATTTGGCTCACTAATGGACGTAGGGCAGCGTTTAGTTTGTGTATCGAAGTTCAGCGGCGAAACTAAATCTCCCCAAAGACGAGTTTAAAGCGTATACTTTATTAGATACAAATGTTGCAAACTTATTATTAATTATTAAGTACAAAATGAATTTTTTAAGCCCAATTACAAAATAATTTTTAAATTATTTTTAATTAATGGATAGCGTTGCAGTTGCACGACCTGGTAAGGCATGCAGGAAGTCGATGGATGCAGGTGGCTCAGGATCGTGCTTTATGGCATTTCTTGGGGTAGACCTATGTTCGGCAGTGGACTTGTGAAGGGCTGTAATGACGATGATGATGATGATGGTTGCAGTTACAGTTGCTGTCTCGTTATATTCAATGTGCTCAGTGCATAGCAGCTGCAATTATTTGATTACACTAGCTTTTTCTAGCGGCTCGACTCGCGCGAACTTCGCTCTAACAACATCATAAATGTTTCGTGCAAAATCAGTTTGTTGACTGTTACTATGTTTTTGTGACTATTACAAACTTTCTTCTCTAAGGCTTGTTAATAATACGTTCATTCCGTAAAATTTTATGTGACAATATTAAATTTATTAATAACTACTTAGCAGTGTTTGCGACTACGTTCTGTTAGGATGGCTCGCCTGGGGTCCTTTTTAAAAAACAGACACCTTTACTGCTGCAATACTAATTTAATTTAATTTACACTTCGGAATATTATAAACTATAACAAAGTTGTGTACCGAACAGAGGTTAGAGTTTGACTGCTTAAATTATATGAGAAATCACTTTTATATACTTTACATAATGCTTACAACAACAATTACTACCTTGTACATCGGTTCATAACATCTCCCCCCTTAAGACGGAGGCTTATCCTTTAAGATAAACGTAGGATACAATAAAGTCAAGATCCTAAGTTAATACAATAAAATATTGAAATACAGTAAAATCATTCAACAATTATAAAAATTTTAACAGATACAATTACAATAGCTAATGCTTGATTTTAATTGACAATCTTATTCAATTAACAACTAAGAAACATAATATAATGAATATAAAACTTGAAAAAGAAATGAGTGAATTTTAATCGCTACATTATAAAGCAAAGTAATATAAATATTAATCGATTCTATCGATCTAAGAAACTTGTTTAAAAATTAAAAAAATATTTTTGAAAAGAATTTTACAATTTTAATTGTTATTTGACTATATTAATAATAATTATCAATTGAAACTTAAAACATGATTAGAAATATTAAAATGACTATAAGAAGAAATTTATACATTTTATTCTTATTAAGTATATTAGCAATATTATTTAATTTATAACAAGAAACATGTTAAGAAAAGTAATTAATAAATTTTAATCTTTAATAATTGCTTAAATTCCGGTTATAAGAAGCTCTGTTAAATTTCCTAAATTGAACCTTGTCCTTGTTTTTACTTATCTCTATTTCTGGGAGTTGCTAATCGATTTCTTGTCGCATTCAATTGATTCATCTAAATATCCGTTAGTTCAATAAAAGTGTTAACATTAGTATCGTTTTTATTATATTTTTTATTATAACACTGATTATATATTTGGATGCAACAAGATGTATTTTTACAACAATTTGAAAAGCATTTATTATATATCTTATACAGTATATAACTAAAAATACTGGCAATTACAATATAAGTAAGCGTTGAATAATAATGCCCGTATTTAACAATATGAGGCTGATTCTCGGCTCGATGAATTTGATTCTTTAAACTATCTAATTTATATGACGCTAATTTTAATGATTCCAAATCAATGTCTGTTAACGTAATTGAGTTTAGGACATTAGAACTGTGGTTTAATAAATTGTATTTGCAACAATTATCTTCAACTATGTTAAAATCGATTGATATTTGGCTAGGCAGCACAACCTTATAATTATGCGATGGGTGAAATTGCAATGTTTGGTAATATGCAACGCAATCATTTTTTAAAGATAATATTCCAGTGCCTTGTACGGTATAATCCGAAATCTTATTATCATTTGTACATTTAACAGTCAATTTATTTGGTTTGGACTGAACATAAATAAATCGTTTTTGCCATAAATTAATATTACCATATATTATTTTCGAATCCCATATTTCTGGAAGTGACATAATTACTTCAGTCAAGAGTTGAGTTTCACAGGTTGGATTAAACAGAAGGTGACAAACATATCATAAACTAATTGTTAACGTTTTTACACTCACTCAAGCTATCAAACAATGCGTAATTTAATCTATCATCCGTAAGGGCTACATACAGCTTGGAAGGATGAATGAGAATATAAGTTTGTAAATTATACTTATCATGCTGTATAGGTAAT